TATGGGGGGTATATAAGCAGCGAACTTTGTTTTTTGCTTTGCTATATTGTGCAAAATGAAATTCCATGAAAATTTGCTTAATTCTGCATAGTTCACATCAGAGTTATAGTAGAGTTATAACTCTGAAGTAACTAGTAGAGTTATAGTTTCTTCTCACAAAGTAAAATATTTTAGCACGATCCGCAAAGGGATAAGTAGTATATAGGAAGACTGGAAATTTTGAATATGCCTTCCTTTTGAGCATGAAGAATGGCTCCAGCATGCTGAAAATGAAATTCCATGAAAATTTGCTTAATTCTGCATAGTTCACATCAGAGTTATAGTAGAGTTATAACTCTGAAGTAACTAGTAGAGTTATAGTTTCTTCTCACAAAGTAAAATATTTTAGCACGATCCGCAAAGGGATAAGTAGTATATAGGAAGACTGGAAATTTTGAATATGCCTTCCTTTTGAGCATGAAGAATGGCTCCAGCATGCTGACTGGAGCTCCTGGGAATTAAGTCCAAAATGTACAGAGGGTCAAAGGCTCTCTACCTCTGTCTTCTTTGAACAGGTAGCAAAATATGGTTAATAGTTCATTAATTGCATTGATTTTCATATGCTCTAAATGTGTTTCCTCTAGGCAAATCAAAAATAATGTTCTTGCTGGCCAGTTCCATACATATTTGCTCAGCAATCCCACTGTGCCCGACAAGACTTACTCTTGAGTAGGTATGTCCATAAACAGGCCCAAACTGGCACTTCTCTCATGTACAACTCTCTCATTGAAAAAAAGGATACCATGTCAAAGTACTGTAATGTTAGCTTGCTTAAAAGATGGCTAACGCTTTTGTACTATCCTTCAGCAATATATTACACATGCTAGAACATGTAAGGAGAAATTAAATATGATTTCTAAAACACAATTTGCTTTAAGAAACTAACATAATGTAAGGGAGTAATTTAGCATTCACCAATGCAGAAAGACAGTAAGATTACTGGTCTTCTCTGATGGGGGAATGAAATGAAGGGCTATTTATAAAGTACTTACTGCTTTGGCTATAATCAAATATAATAACAAGATAGAACAAAAATAATCTTTTTGCTGAAACCACCTTTGTAATACTGCTTTTTAATAACCCTCCTAATGGCTAAATTAGAAGGACCCCAACTGAAGCTATTCATCCCACATAAAACAAACATTGCTTTTTCTTCTTAGCTTTGTTTTACAAGCTATATTATTTCCAGATGATGCTTGAGGGGTTTAAAATTTTTCAAGGGCTAGATGCTGAAACTGGCAGCTGCTTCCTATTTACCATAGACAAATATAAGATGAATCTAAACAGGGGGCATCATTGACTCCTTCATGGAGCATTATAGCTGAGAAAGGAAGGGGATAAGAAAAGGATCTCATTCAGCAAGTACATCACTGGGGCTATTCAGATTATGAATACAAGAGGAAGATACTGAATTACATCTAGAGCTTTGAGGCTGCCAATCAGATCTGCACAGCAGGTAAGGAAAACTTTTTTACTCTTCTGGCAGGAGAGAAATTAATCATGTTCACAAATCTACCACAAATGCAAGAGGGAATGCTTTTAATTCTATTCAGATTTTATTTTATTTTTTTTGGTCCTCTTTCTTTGGAGGGTGGATAAGATTTTCAAGCTAAAGTCAATACTGAAACCTATCTAGCAGGGGGTGAGCCTTCTGATAAGAAAGCTGTTTGCATTTTCAGATATAGGTTCACATACTTCTTCATCCCCAGAAGATACTACATGAGATGAGCATGACATATCCAGAAGAGAGTAGCCACATCATCTAAGCCATTGGTTCTTACTTAACCAGTAGTAATTGTACACCAGGAGGAGGGGGCAGGCTTTCAAAACAATTAAGAATTCACTCTTCCCTCCACCAGTTTGTCCTCCTGCAAGTGTGGCATACCATCACCTCCCAATCCTATCTGTCATGGAATTTCTGGCTTGCTGGCAGTACCTCGACACACTCAGTGGCTGAGTCCTATTGCTTACGTATGGTGGTGTACGTAAGTGTAGTGGTGTAAATCAAAGTGCTGAATTGGCACCTGGTTAAAAAGTTGGGATTTCTTATTGTTCGCCAGTGATACAACCTGGCATGCACTGAGAAATATAAATGATGAAATCTTAACTAGTTCCTTCACCACTGTGATTTACACCATTCCACTTAAACTAGAGTATGTACACAACAGGATTCTGGCCAATGTTTCTCCTAACTTCCTGCTTCCTCCACCCACCAACTTACTATGAATGATAAACATGATAAGAGAATGCCTGAGCATGTTCTTCTCAGAAAAAGCAGACACTCTTGTTTCTATTACAGGGTGTCTTAGATAGAGCAACGGGTGGAATGCACAAAATTAGAGGCTGACAACTGCTAATCTAAGTGGGTGCGAGATCCATTTTATTTATTGTAGAATAGTTTGGGGTGGGCACATCACAGCTTACAGAAACCATGGTACTCCCCGTTTCTACGGCCCTGATCCCTCCCCCATTTGCAGCCCAACTAGCAGTTTATGTCAGGAACAGCAGAAAAGGCTGCATTCTCACTTCTGAAAAAGGTATGATCCTGGAAGCACAATGCAACTGTAAAGTAAGGTGTGTGTTCCCCTTGTATCTTGCTATTCAACAAAAATGCAGTGTTCCGCCACTTAAAAAGCTGGCCGCACAGTAGCAAATTCAGCACAACCCAGGATTCATGATGGATCAACGGTGCCTTCCCCCTCTAGGCCAGATGCTGTCACTTGCTATACAGCAATACACCAGACATGTTACTTTTAACAATAAAGATAGATGATGAGCAATCTGGTTCAGGAGAAAGGGAGTGCTCCACTTTTAAGGTAGCATATACAGCTTTTAAAGTAGAATGCATAGTAGCTGCAACTCACTGGGTGCAGGTACACACAGCATAAAGTAAGCTCCTACAGGGCTTTAGCTATTCCCTACTCCCTGCAAGTAAACAAGGACTATGCAAGAAAGTAGGAGTTCTGAATTATAGCAAACACTATTATGTGTATACAGTGGTGCCCCGCTAGACGATAACCTCGCAAAATGGTTAATTCGCTAGACAATGAGGTTTCGCGATCGCTATAGCGCTTCGCAAAACAGTGTTTCCTATGGGCGATTTTCGCTCGATGATGTTTCGGACCGTGCTTTGCAAGACTTTTTTTCAGGACTGATTTTCACAAGACGATGATTTTGACAGCTGAGTCTGTGACTCGCAAAACAGGTGTTTTCAGGACAGTTTTTCGCAAGATAGCGATTTTTACAGCTGATCTGCGCTTCACAAAATGGTTTCTCTATGGGGTGATTTTCGTAAAACAATGACAATTTTTCCCCATTGGAACACATTAAACGGATTTAAATGCATTCCAATGGGGAACCGCATTTCACAAGACAATGTTTTCACAAGACAGTGATTTTCGCTGAACGAATTAACATCAACTTGCGGGGCACCACTGTACATGTGTGCACATGTACACACCAGACATGCAGGCAGACTCAGACACACAACATTGTCAAGGAACAAAAACTGCAGACTGTCCACTATGGAGGTAAGAGGTGGGACGGGAAACATTAAAAACATTCTGGACTTCAAAGCAAGAATTAACATGTCCTTAGTTTTTTTGGGGGGGATAGCTCAGTGGTTTAGGAATTGGCTTGCGGAGCCAGAAGTTGAGAGTTCAATTCCCCACTGCACCTCCTTGACAAGGACTGGAATCAGTGATCCATAAGGTCCCTTCCAGCAATGCAGTTCCAAGATGATGATGATGATTTTCCATTCTGTTAATACCCTCCCCCAACACAAAAGAAGAAGTGGATGGGTATCTGCTTCTGGCTTTATTTATAAGGTACAGAAAGACTGGAATTGCAGGGTATGAGGGTACAAAATGAATGTTATTTATTCCATCAAAGATGAATGAATTAAAACAACATTTTCAAATTCTTATGCTTTCAACTAATCATAAAATTGGAAATAAATTCCTTTGACTGTGTTGCATTCATCACAACACATTAGCCTTTGCACATATCCCTATGAAATTCTGGAACTATTTTGTCTAGCAATATTTCTATGATATGTCAAACAGCTCACTCCTCCCCCCTAGACTACAGAACAGTAAGCTAATCCTTTTTGGAAAACTCCAAGCATCAAAGACCCTTTCTGCATATAGAGCCCCCACATAGCTGTCTAGAATTTGACAGGAGACCTCCCGTCAGAAGGGGCAACTAAGCCTCGACATTTTATCCATTTCTTCCAGGAAAGAAAAAAAAAAGTTCTCAGGAGTTCCCTTTTAACAGCAGCAGCAATGTTTAAAAGCTACATGCACAATATCTGCTTAGTTGGGATGAACAACTGGATTTAACACACTGCTCCACTAAGTCAAGAAAACGTTTAGGAAGTTTAGATTCAACAAATGTATCAGGAAAAAAAATATGTATTAGTTTCTACAAATCAAGTCAGAGGCTAACAAACCAGAAGCATCATTCCTTGTTGTAGTTATTTGTGTTGCTTCTGAGGTCTGCTATTTCACCATGAAGAATAGTGCATACTAGCTAGATACCAAACTACGCAACTGCCTGAAGTTGCATGCATTTTTACAATTGATTTTTACAAATTCTGACTAGAATGCAACACTATGGCATTTCACTTCCTCAGCATCTCCCAGGAATAATTTGCTAGGAATATCATCCTCACCCTACCCCAGCAACTGGCATTATCATGGCAATCAAAGACAAATGCTCAAGAACGTTGAGCTGTCAGACTGCAGTAAATGTCTTAGCTATGAATAGCTGTGGTTTTTATTTTGCCATTTGCAAGTATGTGTTCTTTTTCTCAGTACATTTCAGACATGATGTCATAAATGAAGCTTCCTATATTTTGGTGCTGGTGGTTGCCAGATTGTCACACAATTTGATAGACTTCTGCAGACATAGGAGATGCTATTTTGACACTTTCCCCAAAAAACGCTAAGCTTGGTACTCACGTAATCTGGAAGTGGAGAGTCGTCTGAAGTGAGGGAACTTCTCAAGGATTGTGTGGCCTGCTCCAAAACTTTGTTGTGCTTTTTGGACAACAGTGCAAACAAACTGCATGGGGGGAAAATTGAAATGACTTTTCAAAATGAGAACCGATAAAAAGATAGAAAACAAAACTAGCAATTTAGAAACACATTCAAATGTTATCTTCTAGAGGCAAATATTTTATAAGGTGTTTCTTTGGAAATGAAATTCTACAGAAGACTGGTTTATTTTGATAATGGAACATGTCTGAAATATTTCAAAAAACATGGTTTTGACATCCAACATGATTAAGTGGCTGACCACTAAAAGCCAATACAAGTGTAACACAATGGCCAAAATCTTGCTGTGCAATTGTGCAATAAACGTATTTTTGGTGGCAAGTCACCAGAGGTTAAGGAATCTTTGTAGGCTTTACCTCTTGTATGCCCAGTCGCACAACTCAGTATGCAACAGATAATGCTTATGAGAGTTAACTTATGGTAATTCGTATCTAAAGGTTATGACTTTTGCGTAAACATGCAACAGGATTTTGGCTGATGTTGGCCCACAGATAGGGATAGGGGAACATCACACGCTCCCTTCCCTTTAACCTTTGCCCGCTCCATCATATGATTTCTCATCACCCACTTAACCAGTTTTCTAATACTCTTTACTGCTTGTCAACCAGGTATCACAAATTTAGAACCAGTCCAAATCTATCAGTACCAAGGATCAATGCTGTTTTTCCACACTAAAAGCCACTATATCTATAAAGGCCCAAAGAGTTTGCTAGCAAAAAACAAAACAAAAAACAAAAACAAACAAAAAAAGAATATGTCTTGCCATACCATAAATATGCCCTTTTTGCCACTTAAGAGCTCCAGATATCTAAGGTAAGAATAGTTGATTGCTATGAATTGATATCACCCATCTGGCCTTTTTCTGTCAAGTGGGCAGCTCTTGGTGGCCCTTACTGTATGTTTTGTTTTATTTATGTTCCACCTTTCTTATCAGACTAGAATTTAAGGCAGCTCACAATGTGACTTAACCCTGAGAGTAGTGACATAAAAATACAATTAGGTAGGCTGTTTCTTCCCATTTTGTTTGAAAGTTCAATAAATTCCTCCAAGAAAAACAAGAACCAACTGCAACATGGGAAGAATTTGTCTATGCATGTATACATGAAGTGCAACTATGTGCAAATGTCACATATGCCTGAGGTCCACATAAGGACTGAAAACAGGGAAACTTAGTAAAACCTCTGTGACTCGTCTAAACAAATTATCCAGTTTAGGAGAGAGTAATGACTTTAAAAATAGAGCTCTGTGTTTATATTTTGTGGGAATGTGATCTCTGGATGGTGAAGATTTCATGTAAGATAAAGGGCTAGTTTCTCTTGCAGAAAAGATGGAACATCGTGCATCCATTGCATTGTCCTGTAGTTATAAGTTATAACATACGTTTATATCCTACCTTCCGACAGCATATTCAAAGTAGTTGAGAAGTTTAACAGAAACTACAGAAACCATCTATGATTTAACAGGAATAAAAAGGCAGCGACAGAATACAATGGTGCCCTGCTTGACGATTACCAGCAGCGACAGAATACAATGGTACCGCGCTTGACGATTACCCCGCTCCACGACGAATCCACTTTACGATGAGGTGCAAATGCAAACTGCGATTGCAAAACAATGTTTAAATGGGGAAAATTCACTTTATGACAATCGGTTCCCTGCTTCGGGAACCGATTCTTTGCTAAAGGACGGTTTTAAAACAGCTGATCGGCGGCTCTCAAAATGGCCGCCCGCTGTGCAAAATGGCTCCCCGCTGTGTTTAGGGCAGATTCCTTGCTTAACAGGCACCGGAAAATGGTTGCCCTATGAAGGATCTTCGCTACACGATGAGGTATTTCGCCCATTGGAATGCATTGAACTAGTTTTCAATGCATTTCAATGGGTTTTTTACTTTCGCTTGACAACAATTTCGTTCTAGAGATTTTGCTGGAATGGATTATCGTCGTCAAGCGAGGCACCACTGTAACAACAGAACACGGATCTTAAAGTAAACAGAAATGTGATCAGCTTCTGGAATTTGTTTCAATGGCTAGATACCAAAACCATCAAGGACCAGTGGTGCATATTCATCTGCTATATTTCAGATGGTGGAGAATCTCAAGGCAATAGCTCAGAAATGGAGCCAAGTTGTCAGGCAAGCTCATGTAAACATCATCATCTTAGAACTGCACTGCTGGAAGGGACTCTATGGATTATTTAGCCCAGTCTCTGTCAGAGGAATCAAAACTACCAACTTCTAGCTGAAGAAACACACCAGATTGGGTTTTACATAGAAGGCAAAACCTGCTCATTGAGTCAAGCCTGAAAATAAAGCATGAAGTGATGAAAGAGATCAGTGCAATATAAGCCAAATGATTGCCTCCATCAAGACCTCTGGCAGCCCCATCTGGAACCAACTGAAGATTCTCAACAGTTGTCAAAGGGAGCTCCATGCAAAACATGTTACAGTAGCCTAATCCAGAAGTGTCTAGAGCATGAGATAAGCTATGTTATCTCAAAAAGAGATCACAGTTGGCATACAACAGGGGTGTGCAATTTTAATGAGCTGAAGAGCCAGTTTTGGGCAGGGACTGATCTCACCAGGGGCTACCCTAACCCTCAGCACCATCTGACAGCGCAGCAACAAACTGAACTGTACAGTAGTTGCTTTTCTTAATCTGCTATTGCCAAGCAAAATATTTTCTCTAAAACAAGGTGCATGGTCCCTGCATATCTTGTTTCAGGGCAAAAATTAAGGGATTTTTTTGCCCCTTAAATGGCTGTGTGTACACACTTCTGAATTTCAGCAGGAACGGTGGAGATTCCAGCTCCTCCCTCCAACGGCAGGGATGTTGTGTGAGACTCTGATGCCTGCCGTAAAATAAAGATAGTCAAAAACACTCCTAATCATCACTGCCACCTTTATATTCTAGAGCAGAGGGTGGACCTACGAATACTCTCAAACTGGGGATGCGCCACTTCAGCCTGTAATTCACTCTGCCTCAACAGAAAATTACAATTCCTACATATGAATCCAAGAAAGACGGCACACTTTGGCACATACTAGGTTGCTCAAGCTGAGACAATACTCTTTAGAGTTCTTGAACATCCCCAGGAACCAGAATGGAAGCTCTGTAATTGTTCTCCTGGTTTCCAGACTGTAGCTTCTCCTTGTTGTGTTGATATATCACAAGGCATATGGACTTACACAGGACATACGACAATAAACGACAAGGAAGCATTTAATTTAGTTCTAGTTCACGGTAGATTAAAATGGAGATTTTACACACACACACACACACACACAGTTTAAAATGGAGATTTTACACACAAACACACACACATACATACATACACACACAACGCACGCACACCAAGCCTAATGGTGTCCTCAAACCACTAATGCAATTCCCACATGCACAGTTATGAAATGTACATGGCATTTTAGAGGCTTAGTACTGACATCATAATTTATAGACTATTCACTTACACAAATCCTACATGTTACTCAGTGAAGGCTGAATAACCCAAGTATATTTTTTTCTAGGCAATTTATTCCTTAGATTTACTAGCCTCTAAATACATAGAGGCAGCTATCCTCTCAAACAGAAATATCTTGAAGTTAAAAGAAAAGCATATCAATCTATCTTACTCATATACAGTGGTGCCTCGCTTAACGAGCGCACCGTTTAACGATGAATCCGCATAGTGACGTGTTTTTGCGATCGCTAATGCAATCGCATTGCGATGTTTAGATAGGCTAAACATCGCATTGCGATGATCGTTAAGCATTTCGCTTACCGATCTTCGCATTGCAATGTTTAGAAAACAGCTGATCGGCGGTTCCAAAATGGCTGCTGGGTGCAGAAAATGGCCGCCCGCAGCGTTTTCGCGCCCTGCCCTCGCTTACCGGGCAGCGAAAATGGCAGCCGGATGGGGCAATCTTCGCTTACCGGTGAGTTTTTCCCCAATAGGAACGCATTAAATGGAGTTTAATGCGTTCCTGTGGGTTTTTCCGCCCCCACATAGCGATGAATCCAGATAGCGACGTTAATCCTGGAACGGATTAACATCGCTATGTGGGGCACCACTGTATCTCGCAAGTAACTAGGTCAACCAATGATGGTCCTTTACTTGATTACAAACCTACCCTTCCACACTCAGAATTTGCATGAATAATATTATGTGGACTACATACAATTCTCGGAATTGCCCTGACACGCTGGCTTGGTGTTGTAGTCAAAAGTCAACATTTCCAAACTGCTTTTTCTCAAATACCCAGCAGGAACATCAACTGGGGCACATCAAGGATGTGCCACAGACTCATGCTTGCCTTTTCCAAGACAACAATGGTGCAACAGTTTACCTGCACATATGTTAATACCTGAAATAACAAATCTGATCAGATAAGCATCCTCCCCCCGATAAAAAATCCTATCTGCTTCCACCTACAACCAACACATATTATCTGTTGGGGTGAGTGGGAACAGGAGCATGTTTAGAGAAAACAGTATTTAATTTTTTTTAAAAAAATACATACATGGACTTCTAACTGTCTGGGAAGCCCAACAAAGCCTTGTGATTCATACTAGCCTCACTGCGCAAGTTTTTCCATCTTTAGAACCACTGTAATCTTCAAAACAAAACATTTGGAGCCCAAGTGACACACTAATTAGATTTACATTATATTCAATTTATGTGGAAATTAATCTTATTCCCATAGAGGAAACATAATACAGTACATGTTTTGAAAAACACGAATAAAATAACTAAGGCACAGTCTTCTACTTTTTTAAAAAAGTTGCTATTTTGCAATGGGCAAGTTTATCATTTTCATATAATGGAGCCAAAAGGAATCCAAGATGGATACAGACATCATTATAATTATATAATGACAATCAAAATAGGGTTGCAGAGAAAAGATCATGCATATTTATATTGTGGGACTGAAGGTGAATACGTATTTTAAAGGCTATAGCTAAAGCTTGGAAAAGTCACTTTTTTGCATCCCAGAATCTTTCAGCCAGCAAA